TATTACACGGGTGGAGATAATCCAAACACGCATTAATAATACAGCTGAGATACCAACCATGCTATCACGTATTACAAGGGTGGAGATACACCAAATACGCATTACACGGGTGGAGATACACCAAACATACGTATTACACAGCTGGAGATACACCACATACGTATTACAAGGGTGGAGATACACCAAATACGCATTACACGGGTGGATGATAATCCAAATACGTATTACACAGCTGGAGATACACCAAATACGCATTACAAGGGTGGAGATACACCAAATACATATTACACGGGTGGGAGATAAACCAAATACGCATTACACGGCTGGAGATACACCAAATACGTATTACACAGGGTGGAGATACACCAAATACGCATTACACGGTATGGACACATACACCAACACGTATTACACGGTGAAGATGATAACCAAATACGCATTACACGGCTGGAGACATCCAACTACGCATTACTACAGCCAAATTACCAAATTACGTATTACACGGGTGGAGATACACCAAATATGCATTACACGGGTGGAGATACACCAAATACGTATTACACAGGGTGGAGATAACACGCATCATACGTCATTACATAACCACACTGCTATTACCAAACACGCCATGGAGATACAACCAAATACGCATTACACAGTCACACCGTGGAGATACACCAAACACGCACACGACGGTGGAGATAACCAAATACGCATTACACAGGTGGAGATTAACCAAATACGTATTACACCAGCTGGAGATAATCACCACATACGTATTACAAACAACGGTTGGAGATACACCAAATACGTATTACACGGGTGGAGATAATAATACGTATTACACATGAGCTAGATACACAAATTACAAGGGCGGAGATACACCAAATACGCGATTATTACACGGGTGAGATACATCCAAATACGTATTACACGGGTGGAGATACACCAAATACGTATTACACGGCTGGAGATACACCAAATACGTATTACACAGCTGGAGATACACCAAATACGTATTACACGGGTGGAGATACACCACAATACGTATTACACGGGTGGAGATACACCAAATACGTATTACACGGGTGGAGATAATCCAAATACGTATTACACGGGTGGAGATAATCCAAATACGTATTACACAGCTGGAGATACACCAAATACGTATTACACGGGTGGAGATATACACCAAATACGTATTACACGGGTGGAGATAACCAAATACGTATTACACAGCTGGAGATACACCAAATACGTATTACACGGGTGGAGATAATCCAAATACGTATTACACGGGTGGAGATAATCCAAATACGTATTACACAGCTGGAGATACACCAAATACGTATTACACGGGTGGAGATACACCAAATACGTATTACACGGGTGGAGATACACCAAATACGTATTACACGGGTGGAGATACACCAAATACGTATTACACGGGTGGAGATACACCAAATACGTATTACACGGTCGGAGATACACCAAAATACGTATTACAAGGGTGGAGATACACCAAATACGTATTACACGGGTGGAGATAATCCAAATACGTATTACACAGCTGGAGATACACCAAATACGTATTACAAGGGCGGAGATACACCAAATACGTATTACACGGTGGAGATACACCAAATACATATTACACGGGTGGAGATAATCCAAATACGTATTACACGGGTGGAGATAAATACGCAAATACGTGGAGATACACCAAATACCGCTGGAGATACACCAAATACGTATTAAATACATTACGGGTGGAGATACATCCAAATACGTATTACACGGGTGGAGATAATCCAAATACGTATTACACAGCTGGAGATACACCAAATACGTATTACACGGGTGGAGATAATCCAAATACATATTACACGGGTGGAGATAATCCAAATACGTATTACACAGCTGGAGATACACCACATACGTATTACAAGGGTGGAGATACACCAAATACGTATTACACAGCTGGAGATACACCAAATACGTATTACACGGGTGGAGATAATCCAAATACGTATTACACGGGTGGAGATAATCCAAATACGTACACCAAATACACGGGTGGAGATAATCCAAATACATATTTACACGGGTGGAGATAATCCAAATACGTATTACACAGCTGGAGATACACCAAATACGTATTACACGGGTGGAGATAATCCAAATACGTATTACACGGGTGGAGATAATCCAAATACGTATTACACAGCTGGAGATACACCAAATACGTATTACAAGGGTGGAGATACACCAAATACATATTACACACATATTACACGGGTGGGGGTGATAATCCAAATACGTATTACACAGCTGGAGATACACCACATACGTATTACAAGGGTGGAGATACACCAAATACGTATTACACGGGTGGAGATACACCAAATACGTATTACACGGATGGAGATAATCCAAATACGTATTACACAGCTGGAGATACACCAAATACGTATTACACGGGTGGAGATACACCAAATACGTATTACACGGGTGGAGATACACCACATACGTATTACAAGGGTGGAGATACACCAAATACGTATTACACAGCTGGAGATACACCAACTACGTATTACAAGAGTGGAGATAATCCAAAAACGTATTACACAGCTGGAGATACACCAAATACGTATTACACGGGTGGAGATACACCAAATACGTATTACACGGGTGGAGATACACCAAATACGTATTACACAGCTGGAGATACACCACATACGTATTACAAGGGTGGAGATAATCCAATTACGTATTACAGAGCTGGAGATACACCACATACGTATTACAAGGGTGGAGATACACCAAATACGTATTACACGGGTGGAAATAATCCAAATACGTATTACAGAGCTGGAGATACACCAAATACGTATTACAAGGGTGGAGATACACCAAATACGTATTACACGGGTGGAGATACACCAAATACGTATTACACGGGTGGAGATATACATCAAATACGTATTACACGGGTTGAGATACACCAAATACGTATTACACGGGTGGAGATACACCAAATACGTATTACACGGGTGGAGATAATCCAAATACGTATTACACAGCTGGAGATACACCAAATACGTATTACACGGGTGGAGATAATCCAAATACGTATTACACGGGTGGAGATAATCCAAATACGTATTACACAGCTGGAGATACACCACATACGTATTACAAGGGTGGAGATACACCAAATACGTATTACACGGGTTGAGATAATCCAAATACGTATTACACAGCTGGAGATACACCACATACGTATTACAAGGGTGGAGATACACCAAATACATATTACACGGGTGGGGGTGATAATCCAAATACGTATTACACAGCTGGAGATACACCACATACGTATTACAAGGGTGGAGATACACCAAATACGTATTACACGGGTGAAGATACACCAAATACGTATTACACGGATGGAGATACACCACATACGTATTACACAGCTGGAGATACACCAAATACGTATTACAAGGGCGGAGATACACCAAATATGTATTACACGGGTGGAGATACACCAAATACATATTACACGGGTGAGATAATCCAAATACGTATTACACGGGTGGAGATAATCCAAATACGTATTACACAGCTGGAGATACACCAAATACGTATTACAAGGGTTGAGATACACCACATACGTATTACACGGGTGGAGATACACCAAATACGTATTACACAGCTGGAGATACACCAAATACGTATTACACGGGTGGAGATACACCAAATACGTATTACACGGGTGGAGATATACACCAAATACGTATTACACGGGTTGAGATACACCAAATACGTATTACACGGGTGGAGATACACCAAATACGTATTACACGGGTGGAGATAATCCAAATACGTATTACACAGCTGGAGATACACCAAATACGTATTACACGGGTGGAGATAATCCAAATACGTATTACACGGGTGGAGATAATCCAAATACGTATTACACAGCTGGAGATACACCAAATACGTATTACACGGGTGGAGATAATCCAAATACATATTACACGGGTGGAGATAATCCAAATACGTATTACAGAGCTGGAGATACACCACATACGTATTACAAGGGTGGAGATAATCCAAATACGTATTACACGGGTGGAGATAATCCAAATACGTATTACAGAGCTGGAGATACACCACATACGTATTACAAGGGTGGAGATTACAATACGTATTACACGGTGGAGATAATCCAAATACGTATTACACAGCTGGAGATACACCACATACGTATTACAAAGGTGGAGATACACCACATACGTATTACACGGGTAGAGATACACCAAATACGTATTACACAGCTGGAGATACACCAAATACGTATTACACGGGTGGAGATACACCAAATACGTATTACACGGGTGGAGATAATCCAAATACGTATTACACGGGTGGAGATAATCCAAATACGTATTACACAGCTGGAGATACACCACATACGTATTACAAGGGTGGAGATACACCAAATACGTATTACACGGGTGGAGATACACCAAATACGTATTACACGGCTGGAGATACACCAAATACGTATTACAAGGGTGGAGATACACCAAATACGTATTACACAGCTGGAGATACACCAAAATACGCCTTACACGGGTGGAGATACACCAAATACGTATTACACGGGTGGAGATACACCAAATACGTATTACACTGGTGGACTCGCAGCAAATACGTATTACACTACACACAATGTGACACATCACGTGTAGTACTGGTGGAACTACGTAACACGTGTAACTCATGTGGCCCCACACTCATCACGTGTAACACTGGTTGATCTACATCGACAAATTATCGTACATATTTCCACATCATATTATTTACAACAACTTGAAACACGAGTTATAAGCGTTTCTTGTTGACCGGTTGTTTCAGTTTTACTTAACTTGAGCGATGGTACAGGCTCACTTATGCTGCAGGATCGTTACAGATAGATTACCTATTGTTTTCAGATACAAACACATTGATGTACGTTGGTGTGGGAATAGGAGTGGCGGTGGTTGTTATTTTCGCGATCGTTGCCGTGCTGTTATGGTAAGTGAAATATAAGGCCTCCTTGAAACAAACAATGTGTATTCATTTTCATTACAGTGATCTTACTTTAAAGACAAACAATTGGCAAAAAACTGTGAAATCAATAATTGCGATTACCATCAAACACGCAAATATCGAGAATAATTAAAGTATTTATGTCGAGAGTACACACATCGCCATGTTGTCAAAGTGGACACAAGTCGTTGTATTAAGGGATGTGTCACAGTAGCGACACTTTATAACGACCCTTATTCAGTCTGGTGCTAAACGTCTGGTTTCCTCACACATTACAATGACACACTGTGATGTAACTGAAACAGTTCAAAGCTGCGATAAACCAAACTCACTCACTCACTTCTTCATTCACTCACTCACCCATAATGGTAATGTGTTGATGTGCTTCCAGGTGTCGTTGTCGAAGGAGGAGGACGCCAGACTCCCAACCGGAAATGCCGAAACCCTATCCCCCCAGTGATGCCGGAATCCGAGATGTCGACTTCAACAGATTTTCTTGTCCAAAACGAGAGCCTATCTGCAGACTCCCTGCCTATAGCCCCACCTCCGCCTCAAGTCGAGTTTGAGCCCAATCCCCAGGGAAGGTTCGACGAGTTGAACGAGAACACAGCTGGTGAAGACGAGGAAGGTGGTGAAGACTACTTACAGCCTGGCAGCTGGAAGCCCGCGTCAGATGATCTGTACATACCTATGGATGTCCATGTCAAGCAGGAACCACCCGTCCCGTCAAGTCAGCTGACGGTCGAGTATGCTGGCCCCAGTTCACATCCCCCCAAACCAGTAGCGTGCCATGGGTCAAAAGGGTATGTGAACATCCCCAACTCCGGCGCACCACGTGTGCAACACCGGTCAGATATCCAAAGGTGAAGGAAGAAGACGAGGAGGAAGAAGCTCAAGAAGACTACCAGAATGTTCCTACAGCATCAACTGGTAACGGTGTTGCGCAGAACAACGCAAACACGCTTCCAAAATATGCAAATCTGTCTGCCGAGGAGATGATGCGTGCCTCACCTCGATCTCTCCCTAAAGTGCCAAAGACAAATGTAAAGGCAGGACAGCCGAAGAATGTAAAGAAGGAACAGCCAACAAAGGTAAAGACAGAACAGACGACTAATGCCAAGACAGCACAACCGGCAAAAGCAAGGGCAGAGCATACGCCCAAAAAGGTCACACCAAAGGTCACACCTAAAGTGAAACACAAACAGCAGTCTCAGGAAGAGAGCGAAGAATCAGCACCTGACTATGTCAATGTCAAACAATATTCAAAAAAGGCGGAAGTAAGTGGCCGACCGGACATGGTGGAACTTAAGCTTGCTTTGAAATCAAGAAAGAAGTAAACATTATTAAGTGAACGTACACGTTATGAAATGCAATTAGTGTCTTTCAACTGGGAGGTCATTTTGATTAGGGGTCCAATACCCCTTCAAGGACTTTTGCTATGACCCGTTAGCATTCAGCACTGTGGCTAAGGTCTGTGCTGTGACCAGTGGGGATCTGTGATGTGGCCAGTTGGAGGTCAGTGCTGTGACAAACGGGAGGTCAGTGCTGTGACAAATGGGAAGTCAGTGCTGTGACAAATGGGAGGTCAGTGCTGTGACAAATGGGTGACAAATGGGAGGTCAGTGCTGTGACAAATGGGAGGTCAGTGCTGTGACAAATGGGAGGTTAGTGCTGTGACAAATGGGAGGTCAGTGCTGTGACAAATGGGAGGTCAGTGCTGTGACAAATGGGAGGTCAGTGCTGTGACAAATGGGAGGTCAGTGCTTTGACAAATGGGAGGTCAATGCTGTGACAAATGGGAGGTCAGTGCTGTGACCAACGGGAGGTCAGTGCTGTGATAGCAAGACACAGACATCTGAACTTGCCACATTCCTTCAGCTATATAAATGTTCTATACAAACGTATCTTCGAGCGTCTGTGTGATAAAACTGCCACTCTTTGTGTATGTGGAACAGTGTATATTCGAAGTGGATATATTCTACTTAATGTGATATCTGAAGCCCCAATGACAGTGGATATTACGTGGGCAGTTAGCGTGATCTGATACTATGGACCGGAAGCGGAAGTTGGCTGGATGTGCTTGAGCAGCCACGTGACACAGCCGGGATCTCACAAGGAATTGTCTTCAGTAGCGCACACCTTATTCGGAGAAAATCACCACACTTAATATCATTCGTAGACGGACACCATTGTACAAATCTAGATAGGATGTTATGGAGAGATATTTCACTATGATTGTCGTGACAACAAATATAACACTGATCGGTTCGGAAGGAGGTAGGGGTGAGAGATGTGTCAATTGCGTTCGTCGCTCCATATTAGATGGTGAGGTGAGGTGAAATTGGGTTTAACGTCGTGCTTGAGAATATTTCGCTCATATGACGACGTGCATGCGTGTGTATGTGTATGTGCGGCTGCTTGTACTAGCCCAGACTTACGCTGGTTTTATAGTGCTAGCTCACTGAGATACCATGCCGCAGTGAAGCATGAATACCCCACTCAGACACATTATACTGACTCCGAGCCGACCAGGCGGACGCTCTAACCACTACACCATATTAGATGACTATAGAGAACAAATACCAGATCACATGAAGGAAGGCTGCATGAATTAAAGGACGATTTCCGCCATCTGAAACACGCAGTCGGTGTGGCAGTTTTAGAATGAATTGTCATGCGCAAACGCGCAGTCTAATATGTGTCGTATCTAGTCACGTGACTAACATCGCGCGATCAGGGTCTTTTTCATACAATCGTAGTGTACATGCTTGTGTGCAGACTGGATATATGTAAACGTGTGGTTCATGAAATAGGAGCTTCTGTCGAGTGATACCGTATTTATCATAACCAATCCATGCTAAGTTCTTCCACCTGTGCTGGTGACAACAGGCGACCAAATGAATTGGGTGACAGATGATGGGGTGTTATCGGATGGATGAGTTGGTGGCCACCATATCAATCACTTGATTGTCTGGCCAAGAATCGATATTTACAGGCCTATAACTAGAATATTGCCAAGTGCGACGTTAAACAACAAACCAGCTACTTCTACCAAACTGTGACTGATCTACATCGATTGTAAATCAATAGTACAATCCGAGAACAACCTGATTCCAACCTACATACTCTTTGCATGAATATGACTGTTTGTTTTGTATATTTATATATTTCTACGTCGATGTCTCAAACTGATATGAACCGATAAAAATAAAATATTTTAACTGACACATAGTCGGTTGGTTGGTTCCTGTCTTGTTGGTTTAGTGTCCCCGCGAGCCACCTCATAGGCATACCATAATGTCCTCCCACGAGTATACCGTTCTGTATCCTGACCAGTGTTTCTCGCAGAATACCGTTCTGTATCCTGACCAGTGTATCTCGCAGAATACCGTTCTGTATCCTGACCAGTGTATCTCACAGAATACCGTTCTGTACCCTGACCAGAGTGTATCTCACAGAATACCGTTCTGTATCCTGACCAGAGTGTATCACACAGAATACCGTTCTGTACCCTGACCAGTGTATCTCACAGAATACCGTTCTGTATCCTTAACAGTGTATCTCACAGAATACCTTTCTGTACCCTGACCAGTGTATCTCACAGAATACCGTTCTGTACCCTGACCAGTGTATCTCACAGAATACCGTTCTGTATCCTTAACAGTGTATCTCACAGAATACCGTTCTGTATCCTTAACAGTGTATCTCACAGAATACCTTTCTGTACCCTGACCAGTGTATCTCACAGAATACCGTTCTGTACCCTGACCAGTGTATCTCACAGAATACCGTTCTGTATCCTTAACAGTGTATCACCCACAATACCGCTCTGTACCCTGGATATTGTATCACCCACAATACCGCTCTGTACCCTGGATAGTGTATCACCCACAATACCGCTCTGTACCCTGGATAGTGTATCTCACAAAATACCGTTCTGTATCCTGACCAGTGTATCTCACAGAATACCGTTCTGTATCCTGACCAGTGTATCTCACAGAATACAGAGCATCACCGAGAACACGGCTCTCACTTCCGTGACTACCCACAATACCGCTTTGTACCCTGGATGGTGTATCACCCGCAATACCGCTCTGTACCCTGGAGAGTGCATCACCCAGGATACAGTTCTGTATCCGTTACAGAGCATCACCGAGAACACGGCTCTCACTTCCGTGACTACCCGCAGTACCGCTTTGTACCCTTGATGGTGTATCACCCGCAATACCGCTCTGTACCCTGGATAGTGCATCGCCCATGATACAGTTCTGTATCCGTTACAGAGCATCACCGAAACATGGCTCTCCCTTCCGTGACTACCCACAATACCGCCTTGTACCCTGGATGGTGTATCACCCACAATACCGCTCTTTACCCTGGATAGTGCATCGGCCACAATACCGCTATGTACCCTGGATAGTGTATCACCCACAATACCGCTCTGTACCCTGGATAGTGTATCACCCACAATACTGCTCTGTACCCTGGATAGTGTATCACCCACAATACCGCTCTGTACCCTGGATAGTGTATCACCCACAATACCGCTCTGCTCCCTGGATAGTGTATCACCCACAATACCGCTCTGTACCCTGGATAGTGTATCACCCACAATACCTCTCTGTACCCTGGATAGTGTATCACCCACAATACCGCTCTGTACCCTGGATAGTGAATCACCCACAATACCGCTCTGTACCTTGGATAGTGTATCACCCATAGGCCCCATAAGATTGCATACAGTTCTGTATCAATTACAGAGCATCACCGAGAACACAGCTCTACACTTCCGTGACACTGCATTACCACTTACTTATAGCGTTCATACCATTTGACAATCACCAAAATAGCCCCATAAGATTGCATCACCACCAATATCGTTAAATATTTTCCTCCCCACGACAGTGTATCACAGATAATACCCCTTTATGCTCCAGAACAATGTAACACCTAGAATATCCCTTCCCGGTCAGCGACAGGGTATCATTGGGCACACGTCCCCTAAACCATGTGACGAGAACATTCCTTCCTTAAACGAGGGTACCTTTTATCACGAACTATCATTCGATACAGCATTACAAAGTTATTTGACATGACGCACCGCATTCTGCAATCCCAGGTAGAAAGCCCGCGTGATGAGGTCAGAGCTCGTCAGCATCCGCATCGATATTGAGAAAGAAACTTTACCGCCTGGTCTGTGAGTGAACTGTGAGGTTACCTTACTGAATACAGGTGCTACAAGCGTTCGTAAAATCCCTGTTCTATAACCCATGTTTGGTTATAACCAGCAATCAGCAATATTCAATTGCAAGCCGTATATATACACTCAGACGTACACGCAGCGTTAGCAGGGTACCAGTTCTAACTCCTCACGGGGGTTGAATACGCTAAAACACAGGTCATCTGAATTCGCTGTAATACATGTAATACACTACCATGTGTATGGAATAAGTTGTCTGCAGTTACGCAGGCGTTTGTTCAAACAAGCAGGAACGTATCTATGTATATTGACCTGAAGCACATCCAATTATAGTTACTGTTTTAATACTCTTTTCCTCATCCTAGTCAAGTATTTTATATGTAGAGCCAGTGTTCCAGTGACAGAAGGTGGAAGAAGATTAAAATAGTGGAACTGTACGTACCCAACTGCCTTACAAGCTCACTATTTGATTTTCAAAAGCTGCACTATTAACTCCGATTCCGACACAATTAAGAGATGCAAAATTTCATTTTGTGATCACTGGATTGTCTGGTCAAGACTTGATTATTAACATGCAACAAATAGTTGAAATATAGTTGAGTGGAGCGTCAAGCAACAAATTATCATCCTTCGGGAAACATCAAAATTTGTTCCAGTAATATTCACGTATTACGTCGAAGAGTCCGACATGACGCATTTTGTAAAGTTGCCGAGATTTTCTTTATCGTGACATTTTCAGAATGTTCTCTTGAATTATCTCTCTTGCGTGATATGTTCAGAATGTTACTAATATTCTCTCGCTCGTATGTCATGTCAAAGTGTCGTCGAGACTCTCACTCGCAAGTCATGTCAGAATGTTGCCAGGATTCTATCGCTCATATGTCATGTTAAAATGGTGCCAGGATTCTCTCGCTCGTATGTCATGTCAGAATGTTGCAGAGGTTCTGTCGCTCGTATGTCATGTCAGAATGTTGCCAGGATTCTCTCGCTCATATGTCATGTCAGAATGGTGCCAGGATTCTCTCGCTCATGTCATGTCAGAATGGTAACAGGATTCTCTCGCTCGTATGTCATGTCAGAATGTTGCCAGGATTCTATCGCTCATATGTCATGTCAAAATGGTGCCAGGATTCTCTCGCTCGTATGTCATGTCAGAATGTTACAGAGGTTCTGTCGCTCGTATGTCATGTCAGAATGGTGCCAGGATTCTCTCGCTCATGTCATGTCAGCATGGTAACAGGATTCTCTCGCTCATATGTCTTGTCAGAATGTTACCAGGATTCTCTCGCTCGTATGTCATGTCAGAATGGTGACAGGATTCTCTCACTCGTATGTCATGTCAGAATGTTGCCGACATCCCCCTTTGGTCATGTTGCGTGCTATTCCAGATCATTATTCTGGATGCCATGAAATATTTCGATGTTGAAATCGATTTTCCTTCTTCTTATCCTTTTGTTGAAAGCACGAAATTCATAAAATATTTAGCTCTACGCTTATGTGCCCGTACGGCCATAGATTTTATTGAAGGCTGTAAGTGAATGAGTGTGGTTTTACGCCGCTTTTAGCAATATTCCACCAGAAATGCGCTTCAAACATTTTACCCATGTAAACCCTGTTCTTTCCCCGCGACTCTTTACCTCTGGGATGCCCCACAGCAACTTGTATCCTATTTGAAAACCACACTTCAATGTACTTCATCAACTGACTCAAGCGTTCTTAAATCGGGTGCCAATTAGGAGACACGCCGAATGCCCAGAAGGGAGATGATAGCATCTTCATCACATCAGTTTCTCCTCCCAACCCCCCTGATATACCGAAGTACTACCCAAAGTGGACTGTTTGTTCACTCCTGGTGTCTCCACTACAGATAAGAAGGTAAGATACTTTATGGATGGCAACTTCTCTCTTATATTATGATGACGGTATGTATTCGTATACTGTTGTCAAGAGATAGTGAAGTACTACAGCA